TGGAACCAGTCTATTGCTTCATGTCCAGTTCTAACTATTGCTTCTTGACCTGTATACAGATTTCTCAGTGCTTGGTTCAAATTGGTGCTCAAGAAATAGTTTTTAAATGAATGAATGAGTGAATCAATGAATCAGTGTGCTTACAGCTCCCATTAAGTGCACTCACAAAATGCTAGCTTTAAAAAACCCAGACTCAGAGTTCACCAAAGTTGCCCATCAGACCCACACCAGGGTTCATGCCAGCCTCTGCCATTACCACACACCTGGGAATGCTGGACCTGATCTGAAATGGGAGATGAGGATGCCAACCTCAGAGGGGAGCCCTCTAGAGCATCAGACCTCTAGCTTTGTTTATTAGTGATTCCAAGCTCTGGTTTCTGGCACTTGACGCACAAGACTTTTAGGCTACTCTTTAGTTTCTTTCCAAAAGACTTTAATTAAAAACATATGTCCATATCACAAAAAGCACGTCAGCCAGAGCTGCGACTCTCCAAAAGGTAGAATTATTCCTTGGACCATGAAGTTCCAGGTAAAGTGAATGACTGTGGATAGTCACAGTATCCCAGGCCTATGGTCCCTCGACTACAATAAGGATGGGTCTTCCATATCCAGGGGCTTCCCTGGAGGCTCAGCTGATAAAGAATCTGCCTGCAATGCGGGAGACCTGGGTTCGATTCCTGGGTCAGGAAGATCCTCTGGAGAAGAGAAAGACTACTCACTCCAGTATTCTGGCCTGGAGAATTCCATGGACTAGTCCATGGGGTCGCATAGAGTCGGACACGATTGAGTGACTTTGATTTTGACTTTCATTTTCGACATCCAGATCTCTATAATTCTCTAACCTGGGCTTAAAGATTCAGACTAGTGGAATCCCAAGGAGAAATAAGGAAAACAAATAATTATGACCAGCCTTCTGCTTTTGTGATAATAAACAACACTATGATTTATTATTCCAGGCACTCTGCATTTCAGCCCTCATAAGAATGTCAAAATGACATATTGTCACCAGGTGTTAGATGAAGAAACAGAGGCTCAGAGAGTTGAAGGCATTGCCCAAGGACACACAGTGAGGGAGTCAGATGGACGATGCTCCAAGTTCAGGTTCATGCCACTGCTCCCACATGCTTCCCCTCTTCAAATCCTGGATCCAGACAAAAGGCTCTGACCCTCTATGAATCTAAATCATCAGAATAAAAAGTGAATTTTCCATTCTGAAATAGAAACACATCTACTATAATAATCCCTCTTGCCACGGGATTGTCCAAAACCACCACCAACAGTGGAACAACTACTCATTCTGGAGGATTCTGTTCTAAGACCCTGCCAATTGTCCCAGAATTGGCAAAGCCTCTGTTGTGGACTGAAGGGTAGCCCCTTAAAATATATTTCCCTAACCTTTATTACTTTATATGGCAGAAGAGGTGATTGAGTTAAGGACCTAGAGAGAAGTGGCTTATCCAGGATCATCCAGGGGGCACAAACATAATCCCAGGGATCCTTTTAAGAGAGAGGCAGGGGGACTTTCAGGACAGATGCAGAGGAGGCAGTGATGAGAAGGTAGAGGCAGAGATCTGAGTGATGTGGCTACAAGACAAGGAACACCCAGGACTGTAGGCAGCCACCAGAAGCTGGAAGAGGCTCCAGAACATCTGGAGAAAGCACACACTGGCTTTGACTTCTGGCCTCCAGAGCTGTGACAGCTATGCCACCAAGTTTATGTTCATTTGTTAAAGCAGTCACAGGTGACTAATACACACTACTACTATGGGGAGAAATACCAACAACCTCAGATATGAAGATGATACCACTTTAATGGCAGAAAGCAAAGAGGAACTAAAGAGCCTCTTGATGAGGGTGAAAGAGGAGAGTGAAAAATCTGGCTTGAAACTCAACATTAAAAAAACTAAGATCATGGCATCCAGGCCCATCATTCCATGGCAAATAGAATGGGAAAAGGTGGAAGTGGTGACACATTTCCTTTTCCTGGGCTCTAAAATCACTGTGGATGATGACTGTAGTCATGAAATTAGAGGACAACTGCTTCTTGGCAGGAAACCTATAACAAACCTAAACAATGTATTTATTAAAAAGCAAAAACATCACTTTGCCAACAAATGTCCATATAGTCAAGACTAGTTTTTCCAGTTGTCATGTATGGATGTGAGGTGAACCATATTAAAGAAGGCAGAGTGCCAAAGAATTGATGCTTTTGAACTGTAATGCAGAAGACTCTTGAGAGTCCCTTGGACAGCAAGGAGATCAAACCTGTCAATCCTAAAGGAAATCAACCCTGAATACTCACTGGAAAGACTAATGCTGAAGCTGAAACTCCAAAACTTCGGCCACCTGATGCAAAGAGCCAACTCATTGAAAAAGACCCTGATGCTGGGAAAGATTGAGGGCAGAAGAAGAGGGCAACAGAGGATGGGATGGTTGGACGGTACCACTGATTCAATGGACATGAACTTAGGCAAACTCTGAGAGAAGGTGAGGTACATGGAGGCCTGGCATGCTGCAGTCCATGGGGTTGCAAAGAGCTGGACATGACTTGGTGACTGAACAACTACACAAACTTCCTTGGCCAGGTTCCAACAGAGGTCAGGGAGCATGTGGCTCAGGGATTGAGTCATGGGCTCCTAGATGTTGTCTTAGGGTCCCTTAGTAACAAAAAGCCACGGATTCTTCCCATGGATGAAATGGGAAGATGTTCAGTTTGAAAGTAAACTCCATAGGTAGGAAGAAACCAAACTGATGTCAAGAAAAGAGATGAAGGGCAAGGACTTGGCCTGGCATTTGGCAAGCTTGGAGGGAAAGGAACTTCTATATTGGGGTAGAGAGAAGATCCTCAAAGCTCAAGTGTTGTAGATATGGAAGCACAGAGCTGGGTGATCTGTATTTTGAATTTTAGGAAGAGATCTGTACCCAGGCTGGGCTGATGATGGAGGAACAGCCCCTACCCCGACCTGGTATTTTTTAGCCTTTATAACAAGGGCAATGAATTATATTCCAGCAAGGCTGAAAGGATTAAGGAAATAACTGAGAACTTGAAAGTTCTAGGAACACATTTGGAAGCATTATGGAAAGCTTCCATTCTCTTACTTCCTGCAATACAGGTGTGGAGTTGGCCAACTTCATTTATTCTTTCCCCCAACAAACATGAATGGAAGACCATCTATGTGCCAGGTGCTCAACCAGAACCCTAGTATAGAGCAGGAGGACACCAAAGCTCCTGTCCTCCTGAGGGGCTCTCTAGAGCAATGAGTCTCAACTGGGTGTGATTTTTTTATCCCGAGGAGGCATTTGGCAATATCAGAGGACATTTCTGACTGTCATGACTGCTGGGAAGTGGGGTGCTTCTGACATCTACTGGGTAGAAGCCATGGATGCTAACACCCTACAATGCATAGGACAGCCCTCTACCACAGAGAATTATCCAGCCCAAAATGTCCATGAAACTGAATCGTGCTATTACTGGCCTAACTCGGCCACATCCAATGGACACGATGGTGGGTGAGAGCGTTAATGGGAGGGGAAAACAGTAAGCTGAAAGGTCACACAGAAGAGAGACATCATCACTATCACCTACGAGGGGAACTGAAGGATAAGCAATGAGGTTGCAGGAGCAAAGCAGACCTTCCAGGCAGAGAGCAACCACATCCTTGAAAGCAGGAGAGCAAAAATACATTTACGAGAAACTAAGTATGTGCTGGGGAGGAAGGGGTGGGGCAAACAAGGAAGTCTTCAAAAGGACCATCCCATCACTCTGTTTGAGAGATGGAGAATCTTTATTATGCAAGGAAGTATATCTTAGTATTAACAGCATGGATTTGGAGTCAGGGCTGAACTTAAATCCCAGCTCCACCACCCTACAGGCTGTGTGGTCTTGAACAAGACACACACTCTGAGTTCCTAAACCCAGATTTAGAAAATAAAGCAGAGTGTGGAGTTAGAGGATAAAATCTGCCTCAGGTGGTAGTGTCAGGAAGAAATGAGAAAACACTCATCAATGGCTTGGCACACTGCCACAAAAAAACAGATACTGTCAAATGACACAAATGTTTTCAAAGGTTACCCTGGTCCCAGTGTGCAAAATAAAATAGGGAAGGACAACCAGAATCACTTTTTCCTGGATATACAAAACAACTAAAGACAAAAATACCAAGATTTTACAGAACAAAAACCAACTTGAGCAAAGCAGAACTTCCAATGAGCTTTAAAGTCCTTGATGACAATACTGTGTAACTGGAAGTAACAAGGGCAGTGACACAGACTGCTTCTGTGGCCAGTGAAATCACGGCCTTTGAAGGTGAGGTTATCCAGACAAGCAGAACTACATATACGCCCATCTACCCAACCATTCATCCTAGCCAACATGAGAAATGAATGCAGTGGAAACCTTGGGATGATCTTTACTGTGGCCCTCGTTGGCGATGGCGGTGAACTTGCATGCTGGCCAGGGTGGAGTCCTGAACTTGAGTCTCAGGGACAGCAAGAGTCCTCCCTGCAAACTTGTAACAGAAATACCTTGATCCGTTTTCTAAAAACCTTCTTGCTTAACAATCGCTCACCCTGGCATCTCTCCTTACATGTGATTCTTACAAAGAAATAAGGATACTTTCACATCAATGATCCTTAAAATGATGTGCTTTCTTACATTCCCTCCTGGTGAACTAAGTTTCATTAATAAGTGTTAGATCATTTCTGCTTGATACTCAGAGGGCCAACTCAGATATATCAGAGTGTCAGTCTTATAGCCCTAAGAGTGACATTTGCTTTCAGAAATGAACCAACCAGGTACACAAACTATGCCAAACTGGCATTAAGAATGAGATGGGAAAATAAAAAGAGTTCAGGGACCCTTTCTGGTATCCACATCATCACCCATCACCCACACCAACCACCGGGTCTCAAGTTCCACCTTGGGAACACATTTCTCTTGCTGAAGGCAGATCTAGTTTCCCCAGAGATAAAACCCAAATTATAGAAACAAGTGACCAGCCTTTATCTGCACATACTAAGTTGCTTTTATTAATCCAGAATGGCATGCTACAGATACTGTACAGCATGAACATTTATTCATTACAAAAATGGCTTCCAAACCATTAAAAATGAAATTGGAATAAGAGCATAAAACGGAACAGTAACATCACAATTGTTAGGAAACATTCAAAGTATTCACAAAAAAATGTTATAGTTAGCATTTTAATAAACCAGAGAAAAACCGGAGACAGTTTTACAATCGCTTCATGTCAACTACAATGGCACTGAATGAACAGGTTTTAGCTTTATACAGCATTTTGTAACATCAACATGCCTAGGTTTTTTTTTTTTTTTTTAAAGTTTGCTACCTACTTGTATGTCACAGGGATACATAAAAGCGGCAGCTGGTTTTTCCTTTAAGAGTAATCTAATATACAGAATTTTTGGCCCTTAAGGGTTTATACCTCTTCATTTAAAATGCTTTCTGGACAATCTGCTACCAAACACGTCTTGTTATAGGTGACATTAAAACTACATACAAATCTACCTATGTAACATCACAGCAAAACATGATGAACGAAAATTACAGCATCAAAAAGAGGGAGAAAGCTAAAGTCACTGAGAATTTTGGCACATAAAAAGTTTTGCACACGGTCAGTCCATGTCCTCAGGGTGCAGGGCGCTCGCCTGTGAGTTCACAGGGGAAACGGGACAATTCCCACTGCTGCTGGTACAACGTTGCTAAGATTCCCTCACTAATGTTCAAGTCTTGTTTTACATAATGGCTTTTAAAGCAACTTTTGTTAATGCTACTGATCCTTTAATGCAACTATTAACGTCCATTTGGCGGTATCTGGGTTTCATACAGAAAAAAAAAAAAAGTCCAAAAGGGAAACAAAAAATATATATATACACATTTTATATATAAACTTAAAAACCTTGTACAAATGAGTTGTTATATATAAGATGCTTATGCTAAGGGGAAAAAAACTTTATACAGTTTCAAGAAAAAGGAAAACATATTTTAAAAGGGACAACGTACAGGTTCGACGAGCAATCTCTAAAGCAATAAATACTACTGGTCCAACAGCAATGTGATTCCATTAATTGTTGAATAGCAACCCCCTCCCCCCAAAAGAACAACACCATGGAACAAGGTATATTAACACATTTTAACCCTTTGTTTCTGTACATTTAAACAATAACAAGTAACATCACAATAAAAGTTGTTTCACACAGAGGAAAAAAAAAAAGTAAATGGCACTGCATTCCTTGTGCCCTATGGTTTAAAAACCAGATGTAAAATGATTGGTTCGCAAGCTCATATTTAATACAAATAATACAGAACCAACTCCTTTTGGAGGGCTGCTTCAAAATTGCTTTTTTTTTCCTTTTTGTTTTTTAATCAGTCTTTTAAAACTAAGCTATCCGAACTACATAACAGTTATGTATATATATATATTTTTTAAACGCTACAAAGACTTTAAACAGCTGTTGATAAAAATTTTGGTATAATCATGAGGTTCTTCTCTCATCTACATATTTAAAAGGAGAAATTGAAATAAGAATGGGTCAAATATTGACCAATGAACTCGATAAACATTAACTAATGTAGCCACATGGCACAAACGGAAAAGAGGACAACACGGAAACGGGCCGGAGGGTGGGGGTGGGGCGGGGCGGAACCGGAAATGAAGAAACAGCAAAACGAAAACACTCCACAAAGCACCCGGGGCTGAGGAGGGTAAAGCTATTCTAGAGACTTGGTGACGAGGGACAGTGGCTGGGGCTGGGTCCCGGCCAGAGAGCCGTGGGAATGTAAGGAAGATGTCGACGGCTGTGCCAGAGATGAGGGGGGGATGGCAGGTGGCTGCAGAGCGGCGGGAGGCAGGTCCAGGGCCCCGTTGGCACAGAGGGCGGGGGCCTTGCCGTGGGCGGCCTCGGCAAGCAGGAGGGCGGGCGGCGGAGGCATCATGGACAGGTGGGCCAGGGGGTCGGGCTTCAGGGACAGCGAGAGAGGCTGGGTCTGCTCAGTCTGTGACTTGGCGTCTTGGGGAGGGGAGCCTAGCAGGTGGGGGGAGGAAGGAGGCGAGTCTAGTAAGCTTCCATCTGAAGAGGGTGGACTGAGGCAGCTGCCTTCACCTTGTATGTAGCGAACGCACTTTTTTTTTCTCCTAGAAACAGGGGAGGGAGGGGAGAGAGTTATCTGTGAATAAAGGGCAGAGATGCCAAGGGAGAGAGTTATCTTACTGCTCAGCGGCAAGAGGACCGCCACCTAACGATGCCCCCCGGGGAGACATTGCCCAGCGGCCAGGGGACGTTTAACGTCACGCTGGGGTGCCCGGCTCACTGAGCTATAACGCCCGCTCTGCGAATGAACTGTCAGACCGCACAACTCCCTACCTACCTGCTTCCCGTGCCCCCGCTAAACGCCCCCCGCCCCACTTCTGACCCAGTATAAGCGAGCAGGCTCAAGGGCGCCACCTGTGGACCGTGACACAAAGCGGCCACGTCCACACTGTTCGTTTCTTTTTTTTGGCTCAGATGTCCCTTCATTTCCCGTGGTAACCATCCCCCTCCATTTCCACCACGACCACCCCCACCCCTCAATGGGTGTGTGTGTGTACATGTGTGTAGAAGAGAAAGACAGAGCTCCCTCCCCAGGCGCCTCATATCCATCTGAAACTCAAAATGCTGACTGTTGAGCCCACAGAGCTTAAAGGCAGCGCGAGCAAGAGGCTGAAAAGGTTTTATCCCACCACCTCCACCATCACCATCACCACCAACCACCACCACCACCACCATCAGAGGCTGCTGGCGCCCAGAGAACGTTTTGGGCTTGTCTGTTAAGAACCACACCAAATCAAGAGAGGTCAGAATCAGTTGTGAAGGGGGGGCGTGGAGGGAGAGGGAAACAAAAAGAAAACCAAATAAACTCAAAAACAAAACAAAAATAAAAAACAAAAAAATAAAACCACCAAAAAACAGGTAGAAGAGGATAAACAAAGGTGGGGGAGGGGGAAGAATAAGAAAAACAGAAAATGATCCAAAGGAACAAGAATAACTGGTTGTATGGCCTGCAGGTTGTGGATTAAATTATGATTCAAACTTTTTTTATTTTTTTTAAGATTTGGGGTCTTCCCCTCCCCCACCCGATAGTGAGAAGGCTAGAAGGAGAGATGGTGAGAATGGGGATGGAGGGGCAACTTGCCCTGGTCCATATGCCAGGGCCAGTGAATAAGGGTTCAGCCCGTCACAAGGAAGTGACAACAAAGAAGAAGTGCCAGGGAGTCGCAGCATGGACTTTCTTGGGGGGGGGGNNNGGGGGGGGGGGGGGGTTTATCAGGAGTAGTGTTTAAACCAGAAAGACTAATTTTGCCCTGCGCCAAAACCAGAGTCTCCCCTCTCCATTTCCTGTTTATGTAAGAAATAGGATTGAGAATTTCAGAGCCTCTTGTGCTTATCCATCTGAGGTGGGCGAAGTCAGTTCAAGACAGCGTGTGACCTCACAGCTTCCCCCTAGTATTCATCCCAGTTTGATGGGATCATATGTGGTAGGACAGGTGATCCTGGCAACCAACCCCATTCATGCTATTAAAAATAATGCAGATACAGGGGATGTGCTGACCTAAGAATACAGTCCGAACCGCGGCCGATAACACTGTCTAAAAGTAAGTACCGGCTGGCTTCCGGTCATGGGAAAGCAACCAAGATGCTGCCCAGTTGGAAGGCCACCACTGTCAGATGTCAGTGGCCTTTGAAAGGAAGTGAGTGCACTGAGTCCCTCCTTGGGTCCGTGCCCCAGAGCTGTCTGATGATGCCCCTCAGTGCATGGGGTGTGGACTCAGCAAGATGGCAGGAGGGAGGGGAGGTGGGGGGTGAAAGGGCACATGCTCAGTCCTTCCTGCCTCCCAGAGGCCAAGACCCATTGGGCCAGTGGCTTCAGGGCCTCTCCATCCCTGCCCTGGGTTGGAAGGAACTCCAGGAAAGTGAGGGCAGTCTGCCTTCACCTTTCAGTTGACAAGGTTCCTTTTCCTCCTCTGGGATAGACTGAAACGGACTATGGGTTCTGCTCCCATCCCAGAAACCCAAGATAAAATAATTAAGCCTCTTAAAGAGTTTTACACCACCTTAGCCTGCAGATCAAAACATGCTCAAAAAACTAAGATGTCCATGCATTTTAAAAATGGGAGAAGAAGGGGGGGGAGGCATAAGCAAAACTGAGAAAGCAACAGGGACAAATGAGAGAGAGGAAAGAGGAAAGGGACAAAGAAAGAACAGGGGGGAGAAAATAACAGGAAACAAGGGGATGACATCCAGCAGCGTTCCATGCTATATTAGGGCAGAGTGAAAAGATGGGAAAAGCAACTTGGTGGGCTCAAAACAGAATCTTGTTAAAATGTCCTCAAATGTCAAGTAAAATTAGAAACCCTGTGCAGGGAGCAAGGAGCCCTGATTAGCTGGGAACATTTCTGGTGCTCCCCTCCCCCCGTCTGCCCTCCTCATGGTATGAAGTTTCCATGTCCTGGGGATGAGTGGGGGGCATTTGAACACAGACACAAGGACTATGAATGACATGGTGACCGCTCCTTCTAAGAGGTGGCAAAGCAGATGGCAGTTGGAACCCACACATTTCGGACAGGCCAGAAAATGCCCTGTTTTGCAAATTCTTTTATTATTTTTTAAAAGCATATCTTGTATGACTGACTTAGCATCAAACCAGAGATTTCTAGCAAAGTCAAGAGGAAAAGTGGAGGAAAAAAGGGACGAGACCCATTCTCATCCTCCCCCACCTAAGCTCCACCTCTCATCAAGGTGTGGCCCCTGGAAAATTGGTTTTTGGCTTCTTATGAATTCAATCTGAAAGGAAAGTAAGAGTTCTTCCTGACCCTATTTTGGAATCACACCCTTAAGGGAGCAGATATGCACTGCTAAAGCTTTTACAGTAGGAGACAACAACCCCAACGAAGGAAAAATGGCCCCCGGGGAAGGTCTAAGGCTGCTGAGGCAGGAAAGAGGAAAGATGGCGCTGGGGGGGGGGTGGGGCACAGCTCGGCATCTGAGCAGCCACGCTGCACACTGACAGCTGTCCTGGAGCTGCACTGTAGAAAACCATGTTTATGAAGCAGCTCCGAAGCCTTGGGGTCGTTTGTTTTTGTTTTGCTTTGTTAAAAACGTCACGAAAATTCTTGTTTCTGAGGAGGATTCCACACTCAGGGTTTACGTGAGGTTGGAGCTGGGTCTGAGAAGGGAGTATCTAGTTAGTCAATGTTGGACATGATAACTTTCAGCCCCCAAAATGCCAGGTCTAACTCGCAGTTAACTGCTTCCAAAGCAGTAAGAGGGATTCATACACCACCACTCACCTCCTACAAATAAAATACACAGAGCAGGCAACAAACCACATTGCGAGAGGCGCACAACGGTGTCGGCTGCACCTTTCTACAGAGCATGAGGAACCCTCCCTTAGGAGCGTGCCCTGTGAGAAGCTAACCTTTCGCCATGGCAGAGCAGTGATTCTGCAGCTAATCGTCTTCCTACTCAGCACAATTCACTGCCTACACTGCCTATAAAGGGTCATCAGGGGCTCCATCTTCTAGGCCAGCCCTAGTGAAATCTCTGATGCCCTCCACCAGCTGCACCATGAAACTCTTTTCTGTTGCACAGACAAGATCTGAGTGGCAAAACCATCTGTCACCTCCAGGGACACTGTTGTCTCACAGAACAGGTGGGGGTTCCCTCTCCTGGTGGACAAGCACCCAAGGCCCCCTGTCCTCTCTCAATGGGCAGAGAGTTGCCTGTGGAGGGAGGTCTCTCTCAAGAAAGACTCATGGGCCCCAGCTCCCCTCAACGTCTGGGCAACACGAGGTGCTTCGCTGATCTCTCGTAAGGCGTTGGGGCAGGGGGAGAGAGACACAGGAGATCGGTGGGCATGCACGTGATGGAATGGACATGGGAGCTAATGTCTAAACATGGAACACATGGCAAGGGCGTGGAGGAAAGGGACATGTGACAAGGGAGGCACTACAGACAGGGGGGGCGTGTTGGGTGTTGAGATACCTACCATCATAATATTCCAAATTCAAAGACTGCTTGTATCAGAACAAAGAAACAACAAATTTAACCAAAGGTGGTCATTAAAGGAAAGGAAATGAGACAGGAACTAGCTGGCATCCCTCCACCAAGAAGGAAGTACCTATACCTTCCCTGAAATTACAGGTTGGATGGAACCTGCAGGTGGAACACAGGCGTTTAATTTGGGCTCTTCTGATTCCCTTTGGAACCAGAGCTCTGTCTCTCTAAATATATGTATAGACACATACATATATATTTCTTTTTTTCCATTGTGCAGGCCAGCGGCACTGCAGTACGTGACCTCTGCTTGTGGCCCTGTAGCTGGTGCATGCCGTTCAATGCCACGCTTCTTTTCAGCACTGTAAAACAATGTCAGCTAACCAAGCTCCTCTGTCCAGAGGTGTGGTTTTGAAACAGAAAATAAACAAAAACACAAAACAAAACTAAAAGAAGCCTGCCCCCAGAGCCCTTCTCCAAGTGTCTAGACTCCAAGTACATGGGAATGCTATCACTGCCAATCTGAGCTCATTCAAACCTCGGGACACGGTGGTCTCCCTCTGTCCTGCAGACACGCCACAGAAGCTCTGACAGGGCCTGGCCAGATCCAGGATGCTGGATTTCGGAGCAAAAGGCTAAGTGCCCGTCCTGGCCTGTGAGGGCTGTGGTCTAGGTCCTACCACCAGGGATATGTTATTTATAAGAGCAGGGGAAAGAGAGAAAGAGAAAAGGAGAGAGAGGACACAGCATAAAATTAGCAAAGAAATTTTGAAGAATGAGGATCATTAGTCATTGATGCCAGCGGGGAAGTAGATGGGAATGAGGTCAAAATATATTGACGCACTAAGGTACCAGAAGGACAGAATGCTTTGATTTTTCCCAAAGGCCTTGCAGTAGGGAATATACCTGCACGGTTTGCACCATAAAGTCTGTCGGTCAAGCCCGAACAGTGCCCGACACTTCTTTGGAGTATTTGCATCTGTTAGCATAAGGTAAACACAAAAAAACACAACACAATGGTGGGTCGTGCTCAGTTGGACGTAAAATCTCGGCTACAGCTGACTTGTCTTCGCTATCACCTTGGTTCTACGTGCCTGTCTTCCCTTACCAAGGACATGAAAGGAAAGGACTTCAATGCGTCAAAAGAAAAAAATAATAAAATAAAATGATAAAACACAAAAAGAAAAAAACAACAACCAGAAACCAAAAAACAACCAGGAAAAAATAAAAAAAATAAAAACAGAGAGAGAAGAGGAGGGGGAGAAGGTGACGTTGTTTGTTTCTACCTAGGCCAGGCTTACGATGGATGTCACTGAGCCCCCATCCCGGGCGGTCGGGAAGAAGGGGTTGGCAGGCAACAATCCCTGGGAGGGGGCGCGCTGGGGTTTGCTGTCACTGACCCGAGGAGGCACAAATGATGCTGTTTTACAGTGGCATTTTGGCTAGCAGCAGCGAGGAGGACAAGCACGTCCCTCACAGAGCAGTGTCCCGCGCCCTCCTGTCTCCTAAGATCCACACACAGAGCTACAAAGCAACAGGCCGGAGAAGGGGGGAAAGGACCGAATAGACCAGCTGCAAACCAGCACAGCGAATCTGGGAAATCTATACACACCTGCAAGGGCCGCACCAGTTATTCTGTTGATCAAGGCCAAAGCGCGCTCGGCATTTCTTAGGAGCGCTCAGGTCTGAATGAGTTCAAGAGAGAAGCGAGCAGAGGAGGACGTGGGAGAGAGGGAGGGAGAGAAGAGAAAAGAGAGAGAGAGGGAGGGAGAGAGAGGGAAGGGGGGAAGAGAAAGATACAAATAAGAAAAAAATAAAAATAAAAAAGGGAATAAATCAATGACCTGGTTACTAATCACAAAATATTGACTTTTGATTTTTAACTTTCTTTAATTAAAAAAAAAAAGGTAGAAAAAAAATCACATTCTTATTCAACTCGTGAAATTAGCTGTTGCAAATAAAGCTGCAGTATCCCTTCTTTGAGGACTGTCTCTCCGATTTGTTTGAACTGATAAAGGGATGTTAGCTCCTCAAGAACTAGCTTTTAAATAATGTTTTTCTTCTTTTGGTTCTGCTTTTTCTTTTTTTCCTCTCAATTTGTTTTTCTTAAAGAAGAAAATAAAGCAAAGGAGGGAATTAAGTTTGTCACATGCTCTTTTCTTCTCAGAGTACAACAGTTTAAAAAAGAAAAAAACAAAAAAATAAATAAAAAACTACAAATAAAACCAGAACAAAACAAAATGAAACAGAAAGAAAGAAAGAAAAGGGGTCGTGGTACTGGGATATTGCAGCTTTTGGAATGTTCATCTTTTCTTTAAATCTATTTTCATTAATATTAAGAGAGGAACAGATAAAGGTCAATAGGCTGTGTGAATGAGCTGTTAGGAGTTAGTTAGAAGCTCACAGCAGCATTTAAGCAGGTACAGTCAGTGAAATGCTAGTGGATTTGCAAGTTATGAGCAGAAAAGTGAAAGAAGAAAAAAAACGAAAATAAAAAAAAAAGCAAAGGAAAAAAATAATCATACTGCGGATGCATGCTTGCGTGAGAAAACTTAGTGGGAGCGATGAAAAAATGCCATTAGATTAAGGAGGTTTATTACTGAATTCCTTCCATTTTGTTGTTGGTGTTTTTTTTTTTTTAACCAGTCTCTTTGAAAGAAATACTGCATATTCAATTTGCACAGTTAGTTCAACTCTAAATCACTGTCATCATGGCTTAAACAACTGTTACGGGAAAAATAAATAAACAAAGCAGAAGTTAAATTAAATTCATAAAAAAAAAAAAAAACAACAAAAGCAAAAAAAAAAAAATCTACTGAAACATACGAAATCATGTAGATGGTCATTTTAAAGAATGTTCAAAGGTCATACGTGTTTTCATGTTAATAAAACTATAATGGCAAGAAAAATTAAAAAACAGTTTATCAACTATTTTAATGACTCAAAATGACATTAGCACCTGTAATCGGAGGAAGTGAAAGGCAAGGATTTAGGAAACATTCGCTGTGTTCTGAAAAAAAAGAACAAATTATACAAAGCCTTCACAATGTTTTTGTCGTTGTTTGTAAAAGCCTGGCCTTCTCGAAGGGCCCTCTGAGATTGCCTATGCAGTATTTCTAATTTCTTCTAGAGAATGACAAACCTCCTTAATTTAAATCGGGTGCAATAGACCACTGTAAAGGCATGCATCAGAACGTTCAGGAACAGCCCAGTTAACATCAAACACTCGCACACACCCCCTCTGCTCCCCTAGCCCCCTCCTCATCCTTACTCAGACATACAAAATAAGCAGACTGTATAAATCCCCGTCTAGGCATGCCTACCGCTCTCCGCTTACAGGCTCTGCAGTTATTTAAAAACACATTCCACTAGACTTACAATGTGCTTTTCATGCAACAATGAATGTTACTAGCTTTAAAAGGGCAGTCATGAAGCAATTAATTAAAATGCATAAACAAAAAGGCTGGCTAGGATGGGTTCCCCCCGCCCCACAACATCCTGGCCTTGAATTTCTCCTGCCTCCCCAGATAGAAGCCTGACATAAAAGAGTGGTCCTCAGCGTACAGCTCCCTTCCTCTGTCCCGCTTATTCTAACTTACCATTGGTCTCCCCGGGCTGCTTGTCCCTTTTCCTCTTCTTCTTTTTCCCCTAGACAAACAGATGAGACACAGGGCATTACTTCAGGAAATGGATGGGAGGACGGCAACGTCTGGGCTCACCTGGCGAGGAGGAGGCAGGAGGGCAGCACCTGCCAGCTCCAGCCACACCCACTCCTGAGTGCTTTCCAACCCCCGGTTCCCTTCAGTCCAACTGCCCTTCAACCGTGCTCCAGCTAGAGGAGCGCATGCCTAGCGGAAGAGATGGAATCAGTGGGGCAGAGAAGAAGGACTTCTTTTCCTATACATCCACACTCAAACTTGATCCAGAGCATCCATAAAAGGGGAAATGAGGCCTGGGTGGGGAAAGATTCACACAGGTGTGGAGAGACAGGACTGGAAGTGGCCCAAGAGCCAAGGGACGAATGAATGATTTTGAGATGGCCAAGAGAACCCCTTGCCCCATGCAAATCTCTTACTAAGGCCAAAAGCTGCTCGCTCTGAATCAAAAAATTAAGACTTAGTAGGGGATTTTTCTTAGCACTGTAGCGTGGGTCTTGATTTTAAAGTCAGAAGGGGGAAAAAAAAGGCGAAATAAAACCAGAAACCATCTGAGCTCCTTTTCAAACTGCTGAGTGGACATCCACAAAGGAGAACATTTGGTCCTCACTATTTTCCACTTATGTAACGACTATAATACTCCTAGTAATATGGACTTCCCTGTAGCTCAAATGGTAAAGAAACTGCCTGCGATGCAAGAGACCAGGGTTTGATCCCTGGGTTGGGAAGTTCCTCTGGAGAAGGGAATGGCAATCCGCTCACAGTATTCTTGCCTGGAGAATTCCATGGACAGAGAAGCCTGGCAGGTTACAGTCTATGCGGTTGCAGAGTCGAACATGACTGAGTGACTAGCACACATATAATACTACTAGTAATAACAGCTACCATTTATTGAGCACATACTATGTGCCAGACATGGTTTTAAGTGTGCTATGCCTAGTGACCCATTTATCCTCACACGATCCTGTACAACAAGCACGATCACCATCAGATTTTACAGATAAGGACGCCGAGATACAGGGGTGCACGCAGTTTCCTGAAATGACACAGCTATCAGATGATGTTGTTGATGGGAACCCAGGTGATCTCTGTTCCACAGCCCTTATCCACTAGGCTATGCTGCCTTCATATTTACTGCCTTGTCCTCTGAGGAAGGCTCTTAATGGGTTATGGGTCAAGAATTGCATGGAGTCAATCACATTCTCCACCTGACCCTCCCTGCTATCTTGATGGTCTGCCCCTGGATATGGATGTGCAATGGAAGTGGGGAAGAATTCCCCTTCTTCCTTACCACCTCTTTCCTTATCAGAAACGAGTTCTCCCTCACCCCAATAGCTCTGGTCCCATCCATATGAATTAGCTACCTGGTCTATATGAAATGTCACAAGCAAAACGTCACATCTATTTGTTTCAGAATATCCAAATATCCTTTGCCTTGTGGTCAGCTTAGTTTGGGCTTCCCTAGTAGCTCAGCTGGTAAAGAATCTGTCTGCAATGCAGAAGACCCCGGTTCGATTCCTGGGTTGGAAAGATCCGCTGGAGAAAGGATAGGCTACCCACTCAAGTATTCTTGGGCTTCTCTGGTGGCTCAGCTGGTAAAGAATCTGCCTGCGATGCAGGAGACCTGAGTTCGATCCCTGGCTTGAGAAGATACCCTGGAGAAGGGAAAGGCTGCCCATTCCAGTACTCTGGCCTGGAGAATTCCATGGACTATAGTCTATTGGGTCACAAAGAGTTTGACACAACTGAGTGACTTAAACAAGTTCTCATGGTGTGTTGACATCAACTCAAGAAGAAACAAGAAAGAAAAGCCATAGGCAGCAAACCTGAGAACCCACACGGCTCTGTGAGGGGGACGCCAAGGCAGGGATGCCCGAGTCTTAGATCTACCTGAGGGCTGAGGGTCAAGAGTCCTACAGGAAGACTCTCAAATCTGGGGGCCTGTGGCATCAGGGAAATCTGTCTGGGCCCTCAGTTCACTGTTTCCACTAGAAACATGTTCCGTTCCTTGGCATACAACTTTAAAGAAGGAGCAAAGAAAGGAGTTTGTGTGCTTTCTCATGAGCCCTAGCAGCCCACCTTCATGTCTGTGCCTCTCCCACATCAGGAGCAAAGCACTGCCTGGCCATGATGGGACAGGCAGGAGGAGCTAGTTTCAGTTTATTTAGGAGCCTGACAGAAAATCTCAGCCAGGCACAGAAATGGTTGGATTCCAGGCAGTGCGTCATCCATGCAGTCAAGGGCTTCCCAGTCATCTCTAATACAGGGCTCACCCACGTTCAATCTCCTGAAATGTATTCTGAAAGGCAGCTGACAATTCCTTCACCCCTGGGAAGCTATCCATGTGGGATACAAAACTGAGATGTTCATGACTGAGGCAATGATCGTTTAGACTAAAGGCTTCTAGTGGACAGGGACTGTGTTTTAACTGGAAGAGGATATGAAGGAATGAATCAACACTGCAAAGTGAATAGGGAGACGCCTTTCAAGGGAGGCGGCCACCTTGTTATCTCTTTAAATGTAACAAAAGAAAGAAAAGGCCTCAAATATGGTGGTGAGGGAGGAAAAACTCCCTCAGTATACAGGTTACTGGGGATTTATCTCGTTGACTCAGTATAGAAAAGCTAGAAACGAAGTAACTTCTATTACAGTGTCACGGGTTAGACATCACTCTCTGACCAAAATCTTTTCTCATGTGTTCCACAGTGTGTACCAAGTCCAACCCCCCAAATGTGACTGTTTCACTAAATTCTATTTAGCTAAGGTAGCATATAAAGTCTTCTATCCCTGCTGGGCTAGTAAAGCAGGAATGTGCAAGAGGCATAAGGATATTAGTTCAGAAAACTTTTTCCAGAAGAACCTTCAGAACTTGACAGCACCCAGAAAAATTTATAGAAGCTTCTATGTCAAGTCGGTAAAAAAAAAAAACACGCTAAACAGTTTCTACCACAATTGAACCTCTGAACAGTTTAACTCTTGTTCCACAGACCACTTCCTGAGATGAGAGAGGAAGTAAATGAGAGAGGAAGGAAAGAATGAAAGAAGGAACAAATGGAGGGCTGTATATGTTCAAAGCCACGTGCAGTGAGCCACTGATGAAGGAATCTGACAGTCCCCTTATAAGTGGTAAAGCTCCTATTGCCCCAAGTCCAGATATTACCTCTAAACTTGATCTCTGAAGTCTTCTCAGGGGTTCCCCTATTATACCAGACCTTGTCCCAGTGTAAAACCAAGCTAAAATCATTTCAAGTGTCTTGAGAACCTTCTGAAACCTAGAAAACACTTCTTAAGAAGCCTTGGGCAATATCTTGTCTTGAGTCCAGGAAAGTCCATGGCAGTGTTCTTTTGAAGCTCTCCAAGTCAGCCCATACCTTTGTGGAGGTATCACCCTATACAACTCCAAGAGGTGCTATGCACACAGACCACAGTGTGAATGGCACACCCTACAGTTGTGCAGTGCACGCCCTGCACAGCTGTACATGAAGACTCTCGTCTGACCCAAAATGTCTACTGGGGATAGGATACCTAAAGAGTAGCTGAATTTCTCCCTGTGGCACCATTCTAGATTCCTCAAAGAATGGGGTCTGTAGCAGGGAGAAGCTGGTTAAGAACTTCTGACCCGAAACCAGGAGAGCAGCTGTCCTGAAATGAGATGGCTCTGTGTGGGAGCTGCAGGGCCTGCCCGCTGTTGGCAGTCTCCACCTCGAGGTCAGGTGGGGGTGAACAGCAAGCCTGTGGGGGGGCATTAGCTTTCTTATCCTCTTCCTTTCAGCTCCAGAAGAAAGGCTCCCCCACTGCACACACGCTGATGACGAATGGAAAGGTCCCAAGCGGGTAAGACCCTGCGCCTGATCGCCTGTGACGGACAAGGGCTCTGAGAGGAGCCAGTTTGCTTTGAGAAGTACAAGCACTGATTCCTGTTTCGACTCCCCAGGAGGAATACGTTCTATTGCTGAGTGAAGTGCGTGGGACCTACGAGGAGATGGGTGGCTGTGGAGATGGAGACACAGGGGTCTCGGTCCTCCCCATCCACATGGCAAAGAGCAGAGAAGGAAGCGTGTGCGTAAAGGTACGAGACTAAAGAGTGATGACACTTGGTACAGCAGGGCAGTGGAAGCAGAAAGCTGTCTTTGCCCAGGACCCACACATTCAATACAGATGTCTTGTGCTTCCTGGTTAAGTTCTGGGAGAGCTCTGATTTAACTCGATCCCCATAATACTGTGCTGACAGTAAGCTCACAAACAGCAGTAACTGAATGGGTCTCAACTCACATACACAGAGAGCTTCCCCACCACAGGTGAAGGCCAGAGGAGAGCTAGGTCAGGGAGCATGGATGGTAGAAGAATCATCCATGGTTCAGTATCATCAACAAGAAACAGGAGGAGATGCCTGCTGCCAGCATTAAGACGGGTTCTGTCTCCCCCCAAAGAGTGGATGGTAAAAATCACTTCATGAAACTAAATGCCATGCAATGAAGTATGAGGCAAAATAAGAGACATTTCATCCATGAGAGAGGAGAATGAGCCCAGAACTTGAGCTCCTGGGCAAAAAAACAGATTAAGAAAGAATGGTGAGAGGTGACAGGAGAGAGTCAGTTTATGGGAGGAGAAGAATCCGGACTGTCACAATCACTGTGATTAGTAAAGACAACAACACCTACAGTGTTCTCTAAAACTCAGGAGAGGAGATTAGGCAAATCCCAGAGCCAACAAAAAGCTGAGGGACACATACATCACCCAACACACACACCTCTCAAGTCACTTCATCCATTCTGCCTAAAGATGGCTACTTACTTTCTGGGATATTCCCATCATGCCTCTCTCAAGATGCACTAGGCTTCCAATTTCTACTGTACCACATCCTAAACAAACAATTTCATTTTTCTCTCTTAAGGGTGAAGGCCCTGCTAGAACAGCTGTGAAGAAGAAGTAAATGCTCTCCTTCCAGCTGGCATCACTGCTGAGAAACACACAAGCCTCAGTGGGTGTATTCTAGAGCCATGTCTCTTCAAAGACATGGGCAAGAAGGTGTGAACAGCCCTAACCTGGCCCCACAGGTCCCCTGAGCTGGAAAACCAGCCCCCTTTCTCCTCCTGGAAGAACTATCCCATGTTGATAGAGCCCTAGGAGGCTAAGATAGAATCCTCCAGTCTGGTGCTGAGGTAAGGTGCCAACAGTCCCAACTGGGCAGACTGGGTGGTACGAAGACCGATTCAGGCTGGCAGGCTGCACTTCCTCTGTCCAGATGGACATCCGCCACATCTGTACAGCCTCTAGTCCTGACAAAGAGGAGCCACCTACGTAGTTGTCCCGCGCAGACCAGCCGGGGTACAGCTGCATGTGAAGCTGTCGCTCCTTCCGGGCCAGCTCATAGTACTTCGCTTGCTCTTCTCTGGACAGCGCGTGCCACTGGAGGGGACAGGGTGAGGGGAGAGAGAGACATGCAGAAGTGTCACAAACCACAGAGTGGCCAGGGGACGGACAGCGCTTCCGTCGCGTATGGTGTCATCTGCAGATGCCTACGGTCTGCAGGGGCCTGGCACTAACAGGAGGGCCCAGACCAAACCTGACTTGTCGTCTATGATGTTTGAGTCTTTGCTCTCTGCAGGTGGGGAAGACCAGGGTGTGGCTGTTGTGAACATCACTCGAAGGCAGAGCTACTGCTTCCAACTCCACACAGACCATGGCAGGAGTCAGAGTATGGCTGAAGGAAAAGGATGCTCCAAACCAATGGGGACAGGGAGACGTCACCCCACCCACGTGTCCTATCCTGGCCCTCTTCTCCCAGCAGGCACGCCACTCACCCTCCGGCCCAAGATCTGGTTGATGGCTGCACTTTCTTTCAACGTGCATTCAGCTACGACCTTTGCTCTCATTTCCTTCATATACAACATGAATGCATTAAGAGGTTTCTTTATGTGGGGCTTCTTCTTTTCTTCTTCCTTTTTGGAGTCCTGATGCTTTCTGGATGGGGACAAAACAGACAGATGCAACCCAATGAACAATCTCGAGGTCAGCTTCCTCCACAGCAGAAAGCCCGCCCCCTTGCCTGCTCAACACCCTAAGCAATTCAGAAGGAGAAGCACACTTCTACTTTGGGTCTTCTCCATCCTGGGAAATGGAACGAAAACAGCCTGGGGGGATGGGGGATGAGGGAGATTTTGTCATCACTTCCTCAAGGTTTCAGTTCAGTTCAGTTCAGTTCAGTCGTGTCCAATTCTTTGTGACCCCATGAACTGCACCACGCCAGGCATCCCTGTCCATCACCAACTCCCAGAGTCCACCCAAACCCATGACCATTGTGTTGGTGATGCCATCCAACCATCTCATCCTCTGTCGTCCCCTTCTCCTCCTGCTCTCAATCCCTCCCTGCATCAGGGTCTTTTCCAATGAGTCAGCTCTTTGCATTAGGTGGCCAAAGTATTGGCGTTTCAGCTTCAACATCAGTCCTTCCAATGAACACCCAGGACTGATCTCCTTGAGGATGGACTGGTTGGATCTCGTGCAGTCCAAGGGACTCTTAAGGTTTACAAACACAAAATTTTCCCCAGCCAGAGGGAAAAGCACATTGTGACCGTTTCCATCTCAGCCAGTGTCTCTTGTGGGATCAGGATGGTAGGTGCGTGTGCGCTCAGTCGTGTCCGACTCTTTGTGACCCTATGGACTGTAGCCCACCAGGCTTCTCTGTCAGTGGGATTTCCCAGGCAAGAATACTGGACTGGGTTGCCATTTTCTCCTCCATGGAACTTTCTCAACCCAGGGATCAAACCTGAGTCTCCTGCGTCTCCTACATTGGCAGGCAGAAGTGGTTGCAAATCCCAGTCCCTCCAAGGACACAGAGAGTTGTGTTCTCCCTCACAGTGGGCACACGCCTCCCTCTCTGGAAGGCAGGTGCTTACTGAAGTCTGGCCAACCTTGGGCAGGGCCACCACCCAGGCACCACGGGCTAAACACATGGTGAAGGATAACACGACAAGAAGAGGCACACTTACGCGCTGTGGAGTGAGCCGACGTCACTCTGAGAGGATTCTTGTTTGACTGTCGGCGTGACTATGGCCGGGTGGGGAATGCCAGTCGTGTGTAGAGTGTGATGTGGTGGGACCATATGGGGAGGGAACCTAGAAGACAGAAAGCTGTGTAAATCGTCAGAATCAAAATGAATGAATGGGGAGGGATGTGTACACACAATTAAAAAAAAAAGAAGAAGAAGAAATAGCATGTAACACTCACATGAAAGCAACCCAAAGCATATGAAACCTGTCAGCATTAATTAGTGATAAATTAAACATAATGATTCTCGTAATGTCATTAAAGGCAATCTTCCCCTTCATTATTGCTACTGACACGAGACATTACGATTGCTAACATCTTCAGCAAAGACAAGTTCAGCCAGTATACTTGGGCGACAAAATAGGCTTGGACTACTTGCTGGAGATCACAAGTCCACTGGTTTGGGAGGACATTATTAGCGGCATCTAAGACTATTTCTTAAGTCCTAATCAGCATTAGAATGAAAGATGAAATCTTTTGTTGCATATTGACAGCTAAATAAAATATTAACGCAGCTGAAGTATACATACATTTTTTGACAATGCCGCGCATGCCTCATTAGGCCTCATTCTGTTGATGGGAATGCAATAAAATTTTTATTTCTCTTTTGCTGCTGTAGTCCCATCGTTTTGACAGTAATGGGAGAGAGTGAGGCAGAAATATGGGGGGAATCCAAATCACTGCCATCTGGTTCCCAACATACGTCACAGATGTTTTAAATAACTTTGTATCAGAGATGGCCCCAAAAGAGCATTTTACACAGACATCCCCCCGAGTGAAGCTTTGAATTCTGGGATTTGTATATCCTTTCCCACTCTAAAATTCGAGGGTTCCTAAATTACTTTTCTTAATATACTGCCTATGCATTAGAAGACCTTATAAAGGATGATCAGAATTATTAATAAAGAAAAGAATAGTTTGTGCTTTTCCTCTAATGCTGTTTACTTTCAGGCATGTTATTTTGGACATGGTTTAAGCTGTGAATTGGCATTTCTCAACCATGCAAACTAGCCAGGACATTCAGAGCTAATTTTAAAATGCTCTTGGTTCATCTCCAAACTGACAACGGGATGCAACCTATAGCTCTCGTCTTTTCTGATACGCTTGGAGTCACAATTTGTTCTCGGTTAGAAGAACCACCCTCTTAAAGGAATGTACATTACTGTAGAGGAAAGTGGAATGAGGGATTACAAGGGGCGATTCCCCGAAAGTAAACAAAAGGGCAGCCCCTAGGTTCTGCCCTGACAAGATCAGGCAAGTTTAGGTGAAGGGGGATCCCAGATCAAGCAACTGCTACTTTCAGCATAAATCTAAACCATGACCACCCCATGTACCAACCAGGGAAGGACCACCTGCTCTTTAGGAAGTCAATTCTGCTGGTCACTGGAGGTGCTAGTGAGACTTTATTGTGACAGTTAGTTCACAAGGATCCTGTACTTATTTACAAGGTTCTTTTCCTATGTGGACTGGAAATCTAAATAGTTTTCATTTTACCAAAAGAATGCAGCAAATGTTCATCAGAAGAAAGATGAAAAATTAAAGTTCTAACTGACTCTGCAGAGATCAACAGAGAAACTACCAATAAATAATGCAGATTTTGGGGCCAGAATCACAGTGGACATTTGACTTGGAATTTCTACCCTGATGTGGCTTTCTGCCATAGCTGCCTTGACAAATTTACTGAAGTTTGGTAACAACAGCATGATTTTTTAAATAAGAGTCATGCGAGTTCTTTTAGGGTGTCAAGAAAAAGAAAAAAGAAAAGAAAAGAAAAACCCTGATTTTTAAAAAAAAAAGAAAAAAGAAAAACCCTGACAGAGGAAAAAATAAGTAACTTCTATCCCCATCCCCCTCCCCCAACAAAAAAATAAAGAACAAAGCTTGGGAGGTATTTGGGCTCCCAAGTTACACCCTGTTCCTTCCCAGAGTTTGAAGGCCTCTGAGAAAACATAAGTTAAGAACATGTGTTCTTCGAAGCCCTTGGGTGAAGCGGTGGGTGGAGTGGCAGCTTTTACTGTGAATTTTAAAGGCTTGACATTCCTCAAATACATATGTTGCCTTCCTGCTGAATGAGAATATGTGTAGAGACAGAGACAGAGAGAGAGAGAGAGAGAGAGAGAGAGAGAGAGAGAGAGAGAAGGGGGAGAGATAAAAAACACTCTGTGTGCATGTATGTCTGTGTGTGTGTGTGTACACCAAACACCACAGTGAGACATCAGAATCTGAGTACATTCTGGGGTAGGGAAACATTTCTAGTGTAGCCATGAAGACCAAATACTTCCAAGTTCACATACCTACACACATATTCCTATACCTGAGAAATTTATGGCAGAGAAAGGGACTCCTCTGTGTGTGTGTGTGTGTGTGTATGGGCTATACACATACTTTCATGTAAGCAATTCCTTTCTGCAGACAACTATTTCGTGCAATGCAATAAACACCCTAAAAATTCTAAGCAGCTCATTATATCCCCCCGTCTGCTTTCATGGCTCCAAGCCAGAATATAATGATGAACCTTAACTTGTTAAGGACAACTAATTTTTGTTTCTGGCTGTCTCAGGGGCTTCTGCCTTCCCCACTCGCGCTTTCCTTCACTGTTGACACGTTTCTGTTAACTGGATGTCATCTGCCGGCCTTGATTTTATGCACAAGCAGTGGGATGCATTTTCCTGTGCAACAAGCCTGCTTTGAGCTGCATTAGGTTTGTCATTATTCTCTCATTTCCCCCCTTGCACTTGTAACATTTCATCTCTTCCTGCCTTATTTTTTGTGAGCCACGGTGCACCCACATTATGGTTTATACATGATCTCGCTCCCTTTGAAGCCGGCAGATTTCAGAGCCCGCTCTCGTCAGGAGAGGAGCCTTGCGCCAATTTAGCAGGCTGAGGGCCCGGAGCTCCAACATCTCAATCTAAAGGGGGTCACAGGGTGGCACAAGTGAGTGTCAGCAAGAGCTGTTTAATTGCCAATCTAGGCTTCTCCATGGTGTTTAAAGTATAATGACCCATCACTTAATTCTGAGAAGCCCTGGCCCCGCTGCTGAAGAGAATGAATATCAAAGGGTGTTCTGGAACAGGGCAAGCTGCCTACATTCCCTATAACTGCCATAAGTATAATAGACCCATACTTCTGTCGCCCCATTACCACAATAATGTATTTAATTTGCTGTATACGCTTTTTAACTAGCTACCTTTCATAAGGCCTACCTGGGGAATCGGCCGCCTCCCCCCCGCACCTCCACCTCGAGCCCCTAACCTTCCCTCCCACCGTTCCCTTCCTCTCCTCCACCCCCTGCCCACCTAGAAATCATCGGCTAACCTCCTAATGATAATTCAATCGATAAGCTTAACCTCAATCCCTATCCTACGATTACTGCACCGCTTTTAACCTCTGGAATGCTCCGAAGCAACAAACACGAAAAACAACCCAGTGCGGTGGAGGAATGCTGGTTCGGAGGAGGGTGAGTCGTGGATCCGAAGGTGCTCAGAAGCAGTTCTCCTTCTGGGAGACTCCCTATTCGTTCCCAGGCTTTGCGAGGTTGTGGTGACATTATTTAATGAGAATAACCTTCCTCTTCTTGCTAGAGGAGAGGACACACAAGCATTTTCCCGCCTAACCAATACTGGCGTGGATTTAGAAACTGACATGATTTATCACATGTGGGAAACAGATCTTTACAGCTGCACGATACCCATGGCATGATGACAAACATTAGAGATGCTACAATTTATGCTTCTTCATGAGTGTGGTTCTTACTCTTCCCTCCACCAAAATCACTGTTCCGTAAGTAGGAAAAGAGGCATCGTGGCCCGTCTTTCCAACCCTTCCTCTGGTCTAGGGTCCTCATGCTGGCTACAGAGATTGGGGAAGGAGGCTGGGAGATGGCATCCCTGCCATGTAAATGCATGCTCATTAAATTAGGTGCCATCCTCAAAATGGATTTGTTGTTGCAGCCTATCAGGAAAGTCTAAACCTCCACCGATTTAATTAACTTGACTGAAAATCAGATGAACAGAAAATAAAACTATCATTAGGTGCAATTAGTGACTACTTAAACATACTGCTGCCAACCAGTTTGTAAATAAACTAGCAGTCACTGAAAAATTAGCCAGAATTAATTACAAAGGGGGGAAAGGAGAACATGGGGATTAGAAAGATCTAGGTACACACATGCGGGCATATCTGTATGTTATATATACATTTATATGCTTAAAGATATGTGACTGTACACATACATAGGATTTCAGCTGCACAGGCCAACATGGTCTCCATCAGCCACATGGGGCTACTGTGTACTTGAAATGTGTCCAGGCCAAATTAAAAAGTGTTTTAAGTGTGAAATACACATCAGATTCCAAAACTAAGTACACAAAAAGTTAAGAACTCATTAATAGTTGCTTTACAGTGATAATGTGTCAGAATGATATTTTGACTTATTAGGTTGAATAAAATCAATCGTTAAAAATAATTTTGTCTGAGTTTCCTTTTCTCTTCTTTTAAAAAATATGGCTACTAGAAAACTTATAATTCCCTTTGCATATTCCCTATATACAAGGCTCACCTTCCATTTCTACTGGACACTGCTACTTTAGACAGAGATGTGTTTGGGTAGGGGAGGAGGTGGGCAGGAGGGGAATGCTCTTTTCTGTTTATGCTTAAGAGCCTGGAGCTTTGAAAAGACCAATAACCCTCCCTTAAATTCCTCTTTGTATATACAGTAATAACCTTACCTACACTCTTTCCTTCCTTCCCTGGTTCAGGCAACAGAGGAATAACACTTTAAAAAGCTCCCCATGTCCTAATTATTTCTTCCTGCCTTCTTAAGTTCTTAAAAATACTGACTCAGAAATTCAACCTTAAAATTCTGGCATCACCCACCTAGGAAGTTCAGAGCAATTTTTCCAGTATTTTCTAGGAGAAAAGCCTAACCCTCTCTGGGTCTTACACCCTTAGACCTACATGTTGCAGACATGCCCAGATGGTCTGGCAGCATCCAGAAAACTTTCTGAAAAGTGACTCATGGCTTCGGTCGAAGGCACTGGGTCGTGGAACTCACCTGGACATGGAAGCGTTGACAGTCAGAGCTGTGGGGTAGGGGTGACGGAATCCTCCTGTCGTGATGGGGTACACTGGCTGACCTTGCCTACAAAGAGCGGGGCACACGGTGAGAACGTGCAAATGGGGGTGGGGGTGGGGAAAAGGAAAAGAAGAAAAAGGAAAAGTTCTCTCTGCACAGTAAGCTTTATTCTCATTTGATCAGAACAAAAATCTTGGGGATTGTACAGCAAGGATCAAAGGGAAGAAACACAGAACAATTTGAATGCCATAAATCTGATAGGAATGGCTAATTAAATTTTATAACCTTTGCTTATGTCAATAGAGACCCTCTCCCCAAGCTGAAACTAGGTGTTTTGTTGTAATAATTAAAGGCGAAGTCTCGCTTGCTTTAATGGAGCCATCACACTAATTGAGGGCTACACATCCAAAGGAAAACAATAATGAATGTAAATTTATACCAAAATAAAGTACAGTGAATCAAAGGACTTCAGTTGCGCTTTGGGCCTCTTTCGGTATTTAGATCTCGGTGAGAAAACATTAAATTAACAGAGCTTAATTTGTAGCCTTTTGTCAAATTAACAAGTGTTGACAAGAGTTACCGGGGGGAGAATCCCCAAGAAGAATTGTGGGTAACCAATAGACAATCACACCTCATTACAATAATTAAAAAATACAGCAACATGCAAAATAGCATCCTCATGAAAGACACACAACTTTTCCTGACAGAGGGTTGTCTGAGTTGGCTATTCCTTTTTATCTAGCCTTCAAATATCTCCCCATCAGCTGAATGGGGTAACTGATGACTGAAGTCTAGTGCAGGCATGGCCCCACCCACTGAAGAAGAAGAAATAGGACACATACTCCCATCCACATCTACCCTTCCTAACAAAATTCAGGAGCAAAAAATAAACTACGCCTGGGCTTGGTATTTAGTACAGCTACTGTGTAATATGAGTTTTTTTTTTCCTTTTTTCTTAAAAAAAAAAAAAAAAAAAAGAAATTGTAGAATATGCTGAGCTGGAGAAATCAAGGTGGAACTGGGGAAAAGAGGTGAACCACTTCAAAACTGTACCTTCTTTAAGATCATGAAAGGTTAACTTCCCCAAGACCCAAACTTGAGAGAGTTTTTCCAGGATTTATTCCTGATAGGATTCAACAAATTGTCCTGTGTTTTTTAAATAGTAGAGATCACTGACAAACATGGAGAAAGATATATACACAAAAGCACACCATCATAAAACACGTTATTACATGCATGCACACAAATACAAACACAGTATGTTTATACATTAAAGGACTTTCTGCTCTGATTTTAAAATACATGTTAAAGTTGTCTAGGAAAGGTTAATGGGTGGTGTTATAAAAGCTAGACTAGGTGATAGGAAGACAAACTGTAAAAGGCAGTTTGATGATGTGGAGAGCTGCCAGGACCTAGGGCTGACATATAGTGAGGTTTCCAACGGCCCCACACTCCCTTCCCTCAGAGTTTGGTGAGCCACTTAATAAGCAGATACTCTCAGAGAGAGATGCCAGTTGGAGAGCATGGAACTTCTCAACAGACACAAACTTCCACTGTGGCTGTCAATCTTGGGAATGATGGCTGCGGTGGAGGGTGGGGCTGTGACCCTCCGACTCCCACTCCCGGATTTCAGAACTAGCCCACTCCTCTGCTCCCTCAGTCCAATGACAGGACTCAAGTTTGGGCTGCCTCCCGAAGAGGCATGATAGGCTTCACAGGAGAGAAGCCCTCAGAGTCTTCTGCAATTCCCAAAGTACCTGAAGGGTATCTAAGTTCACAGAGAGGAACCTAGAGCCTTTGGAGACCATGGGTGCAGAATGCTGACCATCAATAGCTTTTCTCTTATATCATCCACCTGAATGGCTACTGACTTGCCTGCTGTTCCACTGGGCAGATCAACAAGCATCTTCCCCATGACTCCCCACCCACGGCCCTCCCTCCCCTCTACTGTCTTTTAAACACACACAGACACACACACACACAGAGTAAGTAATAAGCATGCCCATGTAAGAAACAAAAAGGAAATTAAAAAATGGAACTCCTTACTGTGGTACTAACCATCCTAGCGGATGGGGGATTTGTCCTACGGTGCCGGGTGACAGTGGGTAGTACGGAGATATATCTGGAGGGTGCGGAGGCCGTGGGATTCCTGGAAGAAGCAGTCACAGTTTAGGTGCAAGAGAAAGAGAGAAGGGAAGAGAAACCATCAAGTGATGGGAACAAGGACAGGATAGAGAGAGACATCGCCTCTGTAATCCTAGCATGAGCTGTTTTCCATGAGTCTGATCCTAAGACTTGTCAGTAAGTTTCATCTCATTATCCCTCTACACCAGCTTGAAAAACTCATCTTCTTCTAGATGGATCATACACTGGCTAAACACATACAGACTTAGAAAATGCTTGCTTGGATATTTCTGCCTCATGGGATCGGTGCGATTATTTGAATTGGGGAAAAAAAAAACTAAAGGGGCTGGCACATAGTAGGGGATCAAGTGATATTAGATCCCTTTGTCCTCACAACTTGTCCTTTTCTTCTCTTTAATTCTAATGACTTACCTGCATGAGAGTTACTCCTCTGGTTTCTAACATACTTTTTGAGTTATGGTTTTTAGAAAGGTTACTTCTTTATAAAAAAGAAATCAGCTTCCAAAAATTAACATCTAAAAAAGTTGTGCTAAGTTGCTTCAATCGTGTCCGACTTTGCGATCCTGTGGACTGTAGCCCACCAGGCTGCTCTGTCCATGGGACTTTCTAGGCAAGTGAAAAGTCCAGGGTGGGTTGCCATTTCCTCCTCCAGGGGATCTTCCCAACCCAGGGATTGAACCAGTGTCTCTTACATCTCCTGCATTGGCAGGCGGGTTCTTTACCACTGTTTAGATCTGTCGAACTCTGCCTTGAAGATGAGCTGTAGGAGAAACTCAACCAATGCCTTGACATCATATCTAGGAAGAATCTGAACTGACCAGACCAGGAGATGCTGGAGGCCTGGTACACTTGGATCTAGAACCTGGCTTTCTAGAGGACAGAGCCCACCACATATGGGGTACTGCTGGACCATGGGGCTGATGAGTGAGTTCTGAAGGTCCAGGCACCCACACCCATTAGTTCCATAGACACATATCCTGCAATTGAGAAATCCTTGGTTTCTTAGAAATAAGGGCTGGGAACAATTCAGGCCCAGAGGAGCAGACCTGCACTGCTCCAGTGGAAAGCAAAACGAACAATTGCTCAGAATTAAAACAGGACTGAAGGGAATGAGCTGTGTGTTTGCAGATGAAAACTATTTCATTTTTTAAAAAAAATTCATTCAGGAAGCTTTTAATCTGTAAATTAAGCCTCCCTGGGTGACATTTTCATGCAGACACTGCTTTCTCTCTATTACAAAAACCAAACAGATTAGCTGGGCTTGGACCCTACACCAAGCCACTCGCACACTTGAAAGAATGTTCGCAGAGGAAAAGTAAACAGTCCGCAGACGTTAATCATATGTTTTACGATAACCATTTAAAAGCTATTCCCTGTACTACCATTATTTAAATGAGACGTTGAAACTGCCATTCACTCGTGGAGCCTGGGGCCGGCTGGCGGCCTCCTCCAGCCATCCCAGCGCCAGGCTCGGTCCCCCACGAGCACAAAGGGGGCTCAGAGGCTGCTGAAAACCAGCTAATGTGTGGCTTCATTTAGGGGCAGCAAAGACGGCCTGAACAGGCAGTCTACCTCGGCCCAGCATCCAACAATTCCTTCTGACCAAGTGACGTGGAATAGCCATTCTGAATTCATCCTGCTAATTAACCAGCTGGGAAGAGAAACCAATGCCAGCAAGTGCATCGCCAGCCGGAAAGAGACAACCTGGCCTTAGCTGTTCTCCTAAGACCACCCCAATTTGTTTTAAATCTTGTTTCAGGGGAGTTACAAGTAACCTCGCCTTCTTCCTCTCCCCACTTTTGAGAAAAAGCACTTGGATGGAAAGGAAGGGACAAGTATAAAAGCTGGAGTCATGTGGCATCTTCTGCCTGAGACCCTAATGGCTGTTTCTTGATGCAATGAGGAAACCATCTTGAAGTTGGGTTTTCCTGTCTGTAAAATGGGCTTGAGGATAAAGACTCAGGATATTACAGGGGAGGAAGAGCCCAAATAAATCAGCAGAGAGAATGCAGAACCCAGTGACATGATCTCTCAAGGCTGCACCAAGTCATTGCCAGGGGACTATATACAGTCTCTTAGCCACCAAGGAAGCCGGGCCTTGAGGGAACCACGCTGTTAGGGAGCTGAGGAGGAGTCCATGCGATGCCTCCAAAACCATTACTGCCTCCGAGTCTGTCTGAGGTTCTTGGAGTCACAAGCCACTCCTGAGAACAGAACTCACAGCAAGGTTCCCACGACAGCCCCTCGGGGGTACCTGGAGCTCTGGAGAGACCTGAGCGCTGAAAATGGACTTCTCCGAAGGGGAGGAGAGATCCACTCCCTCACCAGGCTCTGGTTTCCCGAAAGAGGTTCCCGACCAACACATGGGAGAGGAACCGGCACCCGTCCACTGCTGCCCCCAGCCCAAGTCCCCAAAGCACCCCCGCACCCCGCACCGCAGCAGGTCCTCCGGTGGCCCCGGGACCAGCACGCCTTCTCTGCACCCAAGCACGCGTCCTACCTGTTTTGGGGTCTACGTCGGCTGGTAAGTGTGGAGGCGGGTTTCCTGGCGTGAAGTGTTCATTGCTGTACGTGATAAGAGGCGTGAGAGGGTGGACATGGTGCGGGTGCTGCACAACCGGCACTTTGTTCGACTGCAGGGAGGCGAAAACAGAAGAGGACACGGTCACGCTGGCTCGGGCAGCCCAGGAGCCTGACCCCGGGCAGCCCTGACCACACCCTCCCACCTGGATTCTGTAAGTGCAGGCAACCCGTCCTGGCCCTGGTCCGTGTACTAAAATAGCAGAGAGTGATGATTCAGCTCTCTGGGTGGGTGTGCCTGGGTCTTTACACCCCACCCCACCCCCACCACTGAGCCTGGCTTTTAAAATACCTTCTCCACCACCGCCACCACCAACCCATCACAGAGCCCAAGAATCTGCACTTCTCCCATTGGCAGGTAAATCGGAAGTCTTGGCTTTAATCCCCCAGGCCTACTGTGCTTCTGCAGGTGGTGGTCTCTCCTACCCCAGGGCCCCACGGGAGGGACCTTCGGGGGGCAGGCAGGCTTCACGGGGGGAAGGCTTCCGTTACAAGAAACTGGCAGGGCCCTAATCCCAGCCACTGAACCCACCACCCCAGGCTCTGAACCCCTCCCGGCTCCTTACAACCAGTGGGTAAGCTACAATCCTTTACAGGCAGCCAGGATGAAAAGCCTCACTCTGGTCTGGATGGGAGTGTGAACTTTACCAGAAAGCTCTAAACTGCCAGGCAAGCACCTGCATATTTTATGCAGATTACAGCAGCCTGGATTCATTACGAATCTCATTAGGAAGTCACAGGGAATGCTAACAAATTAACTGGATGATGATGAATTGGACTAATAAAGGGTATGTACACATTTCAGAAACAAGCAGTTCTGGAAAACAACATACAGGCAATTTTTGTTTGGGAAGTGTTGATAGGTGGAGAGAAGGAAGCTTAAAAAAAAAAAAGAAAAGCATCTTAAAGATTTTTCTAGTTGCAATGATCAGACCTACCCAAATTATCCTCTATTCCTTCCCCTACCCTACTCTCAACCATCCCTCCCCCTCCCCATGCGATGCTGTAACTTAGCCCAGCAAGATCACAAAGAAAAAATTAAGCTGAAACAAGCGAACTACTGGGCCATTTACTGAGAGTAATCCAATTGCAAAAAACCCTATTCCCAATAGAGGATTTTCACTAAAATCCTACAACAGGGACATTTAACCAGATTAGGTACCAGCAAAGATAAAGAGGCTAGTATTAGATGATGAATGGATTAGAGTCAACTTTCATTTTAGAACGTGTCTTCATTTCCTTTTATTACTTTTAGGAAGGCACAACTTGCATTAACATCAAGGAAAAGGAATTGCATTAAAAGAAAAGAAGGAGGGTTCCAGTGCTGCCCACTAGCGCCTCTTGAGTTCAGGGACCACCAAGCAGTTAGTTTTCTTTACGTTTTTCTTGTCCTTTAAAAAAAAAAAAAATAGGTGAAGAAGGGGTGTGATAAGAGTAAGAGTATTTCTTACCACCGTTAAGTGTGAGGAAGGCATTTAAAAAGGTGCTTCTAAATTTTCCATGGGTATGTTTAGAAAGGAAAATACGCACTTTCTAGATGCTCCCAGAAAAAAAACAAAAAACAGAAAAAGAAGTCACATGTCCAAGAGCCAGGCTTAATGATCCCTACAAGCAACTGGACACTTTCAGAGAAAGACAGATGGTAACTAGTGACTCACAGAAGCCTTGTACTGTGAATTATCATTTTGCAATCAGAACACTGAAATTCAAAGCACCCAATAACACTTCCTTCATCAGCAGCCACAAAAGTCTGGATACAACCAAAGTGAGCAAAGTGAAGGATTGCCACTCCAAGGCCAGGGCCAGCATCTCACAGACATGTGCTGAGAAGTTTTTAGGAACCATTTCTGTCTAGGACAACTTGAAAACTATCCAACAAAAACACTCCCACTGTGTGCTGGGGTGGAGATGGAAAAGAGTAAGGGACACACATATCAGATGGACTGGAGACCATCAGGAGGAAAGGAAAATGAGAATTGCTGCCTTCTAGAAGTTTTCTATCTGGAGAGACACACAACCGCTGAAATGAACGCAGACCAGCCTCAGACAGTTTAGAATAACTGTGGAAAATCTCTGGGACCCCTGGGAAGAAGCACCAGGCCAGGGGAGGGGAGATTGTCACCGAAGAGCTGAAGGACTTTGAGGGAATGGGACCACAAAAACAATGGAAGAAAACAAGTGTGTAAGTCTATGATGGGAGAAGAGCAGTGAGACTTCAACATTTCTCAGCTTTGCTGAGTCAAGCATCTCTCAAGATGGTTATCACAAACATGGGTTCCTATTACTAAGAAAGCTTCACAGGGACCTGATTCAGTAGGTCTGGGCTCAGGACCCAGGCATCTTGGATCTGCCTATGGAGGGCCACAGGTACTTCTTCCTTTCAGCCATGACCCCTAGACCAGAGAACCACAAAGTTCCATACAAGCACAAAAGGTTAAGAGACTTGAATCCTAATCATGGATCAAGTCCTAGTTCTGAAAGAATTCATGGGAAGGGCTTAGTATTAAATATAAAACCCGAGACGCGGTAAGCACAGGAAAGCTGGTTTATTGTTATTTTTATTCTTTGGGAGAAGCTGTTCGAAGGAAGTCACAGTTCTGTTTTGTAGTTCAGAAGTGCAAATTCCATGATTGTCTTCCAGGCAAGAAAGGCAGGGGAAACCCTCTCTCTCTACTTGTGCATTGAAGGATGAAGACAGCGTTTCGGCAACAGTGAAGTTCACAGGTGCGTGAGAAAAATTAATTCTCCCTCTTCCAGTTAGACACACGCATGAGAAGAGGATTCCAACAAAAGCTGGACACCTGTTGGGGCCACCCTCACTATCATATTATTTTGTACACCTGAGTCTGCAAGCCAACTATTTTTTTCCTGTTCATTCAAAACTCTATAGTATGGGTTGGGGGTGGGGAGCAGAAGGGAGTGAAGAGATATGAAGTTTTAACTGCTATCTGGCTTTTGTGGGGGAGGGAGAGGGCTACTGGGACATGGAGCTCTTTCCTGATGTGACCACATACTAGGCAGGTCCCTAGAGTCTTTATATGTTGGGTGGTTCCCAAACAAGGTGAGGGAACGCAGCCATGTGGGCAGAAACCAGAGTCTAACTGCCACTCCCACTGAACCTGTCTGTACCTGGACTGCTTTTATGATAGGAGGATGTTCTTCCGGAAAATGGCCGTGTCTCTCCAGCCTCAGATACCCACAATCCTTCTGTCTACACCACACTATGTCCACTGCTGGGATCACGATGCACCTTCCTTGGTCCCACCACAGCCAAGTCCCTGAAGGACAAAGATAGTATCTTGCAGACCTTTGTGTCCCCTGTATTGCCCAGCCTGTGTGAGTGATGAGCACACTTATAAGCTGCAACAGTAAGCACCAGAAAAACAGAAAGCTAGAGCCAGTCTCCCAGATTCATTTCATTCAAATGGCAGTGCTCTTAAATGTAGTCTACTCAGCATCACAGAACAGAGCTGGGGGCAGGGGAAGCCTTCAGTAACCATCCAGTCTAATACCTTATTACAAGTGTCTTTTGGGGGGGGGGAAAATTGGTTTTCAAGCCCACTGGCTTGTACACGATGACCAAGAGTGAAGTCAGAAAATTCCAGGAAGACCCGTGTTTAAATCCTACTTCAATCCAATCCAGGTGTGTAACCCTCTCACAAGCCTTCATTTCTGTGCGAACTCCTGGTGAGAACTGGGTCTACCTAAGAGGGTTGTGAAAATCTAAAGAGATCATGTTTGGGAAGTGTGTATTAGCCTCACACATCCATACATGTAAGGCAAAGAAGCTTTGAAAAATGAAAAATACAGTCCAGTGCTGACGATGAGGGCTTGGTGAAGGTCACGTTCGCTACCCTTCCAGTCTCTTCTAATTAAATTCACAGGTGGCAAGGCAGCCACAGCCCACACTCCTTACTGCAAAGGCCAAGGCATGCATGGCAGGGCAAGAGTACAGGGGGGTTTTGTGGCCACCTTTCCTTAGGTGTATGCCTTTCTTAAAAATGCAACACTTAGTCCACACGTATAGTTAATTATGTCATTTGAGAAAAACCATCACTTGATTATGCTAATAAATAACACTGTCACAGAAGAGTTGGAAGTTACCTTGGTAGCTGGAGATGAGCAAGGTCCTTCAAGAAGTAGGGGTAGGGCCTTGAAGCAGAAGCTGATACGAATGATACACAGAACAACCACCCACATAGGAAAAGTCCCTTAGACTTCCCCCCTTCTCTACGATCAGCTCCCACTTTTTTTTTTAAATGAAAACAGCTTTCCTTTTTTTTTTTCCACTGAAAAGCTTTGGTTTTCCAGCAAACCCTTTTAGAACTCTTTAACTGAATGTGTTAAGAGTACCACTATATGCTAGACAACAGCATAAAGAGGCAAAACTCCATTTCAAAAGTTTTTGTGGATTTTCCAAGTCATTTGGTCATAATGGAACTGGGTTACAACTGCTATAATGAAATCATCACTATAAATAATTCTTTTCAGATTAAGGCCTTGGGGATGAATCTGAGTTGATATGCAGTTCCTCCAGTGCCGTTCCCACTTCTTTAATAAGGAGGTCTTGTCTTTACGGACTGTGTTCAAAACCATACCACCCTAAGAAAATTTGGATGTGAAAAAGTTCCTTTTGTGGAGGACAACAGAAAACCTTCCAGAAACACATCCGGGAAATCTAAATCAAAGCCACACTGTATGCTGGGAGTGCTGGTGGGGTAAACAAGCTGAAATACATATCTCCTCCCTCTTTAATCTTTTTACAGAGTCCAGTGTTCAGGACAACCGTAACACAAAACCAGGTGCCTCTTAGGAAAGTGTTTTATCTAAATATTAAATATGTCTTCAAAACTACCTGAGCATTTGCACGAAATCATCACCTGCAGGGACAGCTAACTGAAGTTCAAGGTTGACAGAATGGCAATCATGGGAGGCTGCCTGGAGAGCTTAAGCCTTATAGAATATGATGAGCACTAGGAATCTGTGAGCCAGGAAAAAAAAAAAAACAACCAGCAAACATTCATAAAACATTCATAGAACGGAAGTTCAGGGA